CATTCAATATTCTGTTTAGGATAATAAGACTGCCATTCACAACCATAAAATCTCCATAAAAATTGATGGCATCTCATCTTTTAGTGCAAATCTATTTCAGAATATCCTTTTCATTTAAATTGATAATTAACTTTAAGTGATTTATAATAAAGTACTTTAGTAAACAATCAACATTAATTCATCAATAATTTATTTCAATCCACAATTTAATATAATATATTAATTAGATTTAATATCTGATGAAATCATATTTTATGTGTTTTGTTATTCTAGGAATTTCATTCGACCAACAAAAGCATATATACATATCATTTATGTTTAATCATCCTTTATTAAATAAACTAACAGCTGTTATAGGATTTTTTACAATTTACATTAATCTATTTAATCAAAAAAAACTCTTGAATTTGATGATAGTTGTCAAAAAAAAATCATTGTATATTATAGCAAATAAGGATTAAATTTAATGTATCAATATCAAATAAAGTGGCCTTATAGTTCTGATTTTAATATCAGTATTTTCGATAATTCAAGGTTGAATTAAATCTGCTCGATATAATAACATGTCTTTATAAAAAATTACAACTTGTTGTAGTATAATACTGATTACAATTTTCTTTTATTAAAAAATGACAATTATATTTATAAGTACAATTGTAATGGATAACAGTAATTAATTATTAACATAAAATAATCGAAGGTATATTAATATAAAAATTCAATTCTTATATGGGGCCATTAAGGAATATTAAGATTATTTAAGTTTCATACAAATGAGACATAAATTTTAAAATTTGAATTTGAGAGTCAAATAATCGATATTATTTAATGTAAAAATATAATTATTGTATATGCAAAAAATAAAAACGAAATGAAATTAATTGATTTTGATGCATAAGATAATAATATCAATAACATTTAACTTGAAAGAATATTATATCAAATATTTAATGCCTATCAAAAGAACAATTAAACAATTTAGCCATTTTATTTTGCAAAGATTCCCGAATATATTTTCTAATTTTTTGATTAGTTGATAATTTTTAGTAATAAATAAGTTCATTAATTTCAAATAGAATAAACATAGATCGTTTTTTTTTAATTAAAGATATCCCATACCTATTATATGTTTGGAGTACATCTGATAAAAAATTAAATAATTGAATACAAACTTGATCTCGAATAACTATCAATTCTGAAAGTTGTTGATTTGAGAGAAAACGAAATCATTAGACCAATAGAATACTAAATTAATGAAAATTATTTTAGTATAGGAGTTCGAAATGACATGAAAACTTACATTTTATTATTCGCAATTTAAAAATAATAGTCACTTAAATTACTAAATACTATTCAAATTGCAAGAGATTCATTTTTTTTCCAAAAATAGTATTTGATTTACTATGATAAAGAAGACAATTTAATGATTTTCAACATGGCAGACTTTGAGATATAAATTGAAAATGTTAGGTAGTTTAAAAGTCAGAGGACATCATTTAATTTCAATGTTGTTCCAATAAATTCAAATGAATCTAGCCTAAGTTTATAATTCACTTTAAGTAAATATCCATATATTGTTATGAATTGTTAAAAACAACAAACAATGCCTCTTTGTATTATTCTTTCCAAAACAAAACTAAAATTTTGCCAACTAAATATTTTTAAGGTCCTATTGACACTCTCAAAATACTTGAAAATGATATATTTTAGATTGAAGGTCCATTGTTAGTTTCTAAGGTTTCTCTTGAAGTTGAAGAAGCTAAAGTATACACTATAAATCTATCGACTATTTTTACGAAGACTAAATATTTCAGAATTATATACCTATCATTTTAAAATTCTACTATGTTATTCTTTAATAAAGAGAGTCTATATAATATATAGATTCAAGAAAATATATTATTATTAGATATCATACTAGTAAATCCTTAATAAATATTGATGATACTTAAGAATGATAAAACTGAAATTTTTAGAGGAGTGATTTATTAGATCGATGAAGTTACGCATCAATTATAAAAGGAACCTCGATTTGATGTCTAGTTGGATCTTGATACTATGTCCAAAGAATTTTAATGTTTTAAAACTGGAAATTTAATTTTTATTAAAGGATTGAAAACTTAAGTAATTTATCAAATAGTTGGATTTAGTTTGAAATCAATTCCAAACAAATTCGATATTATTGAGATTCTTAAAATCAAAGGCGATAATTAACTTTATGTTTCACTCTCCATCAAGGACAATTATGTTCTCTTTTTCTAAATTCTGCTTATTAATGAGTTTCAACTTGAATCAAAAGTATCTACGACTCTTTACTTTGAAAATATACTAAATTAGCTTATAAACCACATTATGTACTAACAAATAATTTCTTTATATAATTTTCGTAATTTCCAATTTTTAGAATGCCTGATTGAAGATGGACAAGTTAAAATCACAGGGTTGTAAATGAATGGGGAAATCTCAGTCATCAGCGAAATTATTATTCAAATGGAAGATTCTAGTATCTCTTACAAACTATTAAAAATTACAAGAATTAATATCAAACCAGATCGGATGCAGCAAGTATATTATTGTTAAAATAAATTAATTCTAAGATTTTTATCTGGTGAAACGTACTTTTACGATTTAACAGGAGATTAAGTTATCACAGATTATATGGGAAGATAGACAGGATTGTGGTATAGTTATCATGTACTTAATACTACTCATGTTATTATCTACTCATATTTGGAAAATAAAATAGTTATTGCAGAAATTGGTTATGAAATTCATGTTAATGAAGGATATTCAGGAAATCATACATTTACATTAGTTGCTGAAAACAAGTTATCATAAATACAAATAAATTTAACAATAATTGATATAAATCATGATCAGATAAAGGATTAGAATGTTATAATCATTTATCTCTTGATATTTATTTTAGCTTTAGTTTTATATTATCTTATTAGAAGAATGAAATTAAAATGCAAATCGCTAAATACTTAAAAAATTAATGGAATCGAATTGAATAATCAAGAATAATGTGACTGATTGTCAAATGCTATAGGATGATAGGATACCTATTTTATAATACAAAAAATTGAATATTATATGTTTTCATAAAATATCAGTAAAATTTATTGGCAACTCTTTAATCTGAGTTGAATAGTATTATTCAATTTAATTTAGAATTTTGAAGTCTTCTGACCTTATCAAAGTAATGGCCACTCCCTTTCTTCCAAATTTACCCTTTCTTCCAATCCTTAAAATGTATAATTCCTTTGAGGTTGGTACATCATAATTGATAATCAAGGATACATATTCAATATCAAGACCTTTGATAATAATATAAAACAATACATCTTCTTAAAATATCAGTACCAATCAATACTCTTTTAATTCCTTATTTATAATCCCTCATAATCTCATTCCTTTATTGTTAACTCATACCTTCATGTATTTAAACTACTGTAAAATTGCTTTCTAACATTTTATTCACTAACCATTCACATTTTTATTTTGTTTGGCAAAAGATAACTGATTAGGTAATAGATGCTATCTCGTATAAATCGCATAAAGTCTCAAACTTCCAATCCTCTTTATCAACTTGAATAAAAAACTATTGAATTCCTTCTAATGTCAGTTCATTTCTTTTGTCCATGATCACAAGTGGATTGTTGAAGAATTTCTCAATAAAATCTAGTATATCTTAAGATAAAGTTGCTGTGACTAAGACATACTAAGGTTTTGGTGGCAAGTATTTAAAGATACAATAAACCAATGATTTAGATTCATCAATCAACATTTCATCAGCTTCATCCAAAATTATCATTTTTAAATGAGCAAAACTAATTTCCTTTCTCTATACTAGTTCAAAAACTCTATCAGGAGTACCTAATACTATTTAAACCCCTTGTTATACGACACTAATATCATCCTAAATAGAATTTCCTTCAGAACACGCATGAACTATTTTATTTATGTATATTTTACTCGAAACATTAAGAAATTTGCCCAAAGCCATTATTAAGCCTGCATTTTCTTCTGTTAATTTCCTTGTTTTCTACAGAATCAAAACCTAGATTTTTCTAAAAAGTATTATAAAATGCTTCTACTTTACAGATAAATCAAAGATCGATAGTACTGATAAACTCATTACTGTTGTTTTCCCTGTACTCCTAAAATTCTAGATTACAACATCTCTACCCTAAATCAGTGGGACTAATGCTCTCTATTGAACTTCTAAGGGTCGTATAAAACCAAAAGCATTGATGCCTTTGTTGATGATTTATTATACCTCTCAAAAGTTCTTTCCTTAGTTTCATAGATTCAAAAGTTGATTAAATAATTGGTTCTTCATTGGTTTTCCATTCTACATTACCATATAGATTTTATATATCCATAATTAGTTATTTAATGATTTATTAAATAAAACCCAAAACTAATTTGAATTTTCCTTTATGATATTAAGAAGAGTCGCTATAAATTTTGAAAACTTCATAATAATTCAATTAATAGAGTATTTCTTTATATATCATCCATTCTTTCTATAAACTTCGTATTTTAACATACAATTACATTAGCATTGAATTAATTTAAAATCTGAATCAGAATATAAATAAAAAAGAATCAAATTATGAATATTGAAAATAAAGGAATATTTATTAGGAAGGATCAAAAAAATTTAAAATTCAATCTCCATCCAATTTTACACTAAATGAAAGCAACACTTTGTTATTCACTACGTATAATTATTTACAAGATTAGTGTAGAAATGTGTCAAATATTTTTGAGTTCCTAAATGTTCTTAGCCTCAACTAGATTTACTTTTTATTTTTGGCTATAATATATCTTTATTATAATATAAAATTGAAGATTTAATTATATATATTTCCTTTTTAATACATCTAAAATTTGATTAATTTATCATTCTATAAATAAAATGACGCAAAAAGCTTAAGTATAACTATATCATATAGAAGATTAATTAGAAATATGACCAAACTAAGGAAAAATTGAATCAATAAGAATAAGAAAAATAGTCAATCAAAACGAGTTCGATTATACTATAATAATAGTAAACTAGTGATGCACTCAAATAAACAAATGAAAATTAGACATCCATTGTAATTCATGTGAGCAAACCCATGGAAATTAAAAAATCGTAATTCAAAAGTTACATGGTATACACTATTGAAGGATCAGATGCTTGGGGAACGTTTAAAACAGAAAGAAGATTTAAAGAATTTTATAATTTAAGATTATCCCTTTAGAAATTTTGGATTGGATTTTATATTCCACCTCTTTCAGAAAAAATATTAAATCCAAATAAGGATCAATTAAAAGTTAGGCATAAAGTATTAAACTATTTTGTTAAAAGAATTTCCTCAATATAGTATTTATATTATTCTGTATAATTTGCAAAAATATTTTTGAGGCCAAATGAAACTGAAATATGCAAAGTATAAATTAATTTGATACTAGGTTATGGAAAGCTTAAAACCAACTGATTTTCTCTATTAAATTTAGGTCATGAAGTAGGTTTTCCAAATAACTTCAGAGTAATATGATGAAAAGAGGCTGTAGATTTATTTAAAGAATGTTTAGACGTTCTTATAAAACTCTAAATTTCTCTTATTTAAATTATCTAGAAAAATTTAGGAAATGATCAACAGTAGCGCAACATTAAAAGAAAAGATCAATTCTGTTACTGGTGCTGAATCTGAATAATCTGAAAAATTTGCTATGTAAGATAGCATAGAAGACTAAGATGGAAAGATGAAAAATTATGAAATAGGTTTAAAAATTCATTCAAATTTAGAAAATATGGTATTTTTACATTCATAATAATTTAGATGTTCACTAGAGATAAGTAATTAGAAAAGATCCACGATTTAATAAAAACAGAATAAATGGATATAAAGGCATTTCTGGAAGGGTTTAAGCTTAGATTAGAAATGGTGTATTAAAAAAATAATGACAGAGTTAAATAGAAATAATGGGAAATTGAAAAATTAGATATTGAGTATTTGAGTTTAAATGATCAATACTAAATAAAATATATCTAAGAGAGTGTATATTTTTCATTATTAGTATTTTCAGTGCAGCATAGAGATCAATAAATTCAATCACTTTAACTTATTCATGATGAATTTAGAGGTAAAAAAAGTATTTGAGAAATTTAAAAATGATAAACATTAATCCTACTTAACAATCATCAAGGATATAGCTGATTTGGAGTTATCAAACTTTTCAATAATGAATCAAACTTGGAGAGGAATTGAAAACCTTGCATAATTAAAATTAGATAAAAAAACAAATTATTAGATGTCTCAATGAATGATAAATTGAATCAGTAAAATAAAAATATTTTTTCTTCCTCATTCCAATTAGACATTATAGTTTAAGGTTTATAAATATATTCCCGTTCAATATTATTCGCAGTTTCAAATTTCATGAAAATAAATATAAATGTATTATTATTTAGTTTTAATTACTCATTACTCATTTTAAATCATTGCTACTATTAAAATATATATGTTCACTTAATATGATAATTTTAATTTAATCATCTACTGCAATACAATAAATCAACTTATTATATTATAGAATAATTAATTTTCATTCAAATTTTAAGAGACTTGATAATGTTTTCGCCACAAATAATAGAAAACCTAAATGATTACTAGTGCTCCTAGAATCATAATAGACCTATAAAGTCAGCTTGTATTTAACCAAATTACCCCCAAAATAAAAGATTTTTCTGTGAAGAATGTTTAAAGGAAATCACTATTGAAGTACATCCTTTAGGTTAGATAAGGTAAAAAATTGAAGATGACCTGAAGACTTCCATCTAGTAATGTGAAATCTAAATATCTCCTTTTTTAAATATGCTCAGGTAATTAGAGTAGAATATTTGTTCCTTAAAAGAATATATATTATAGGAAATCAACAGTTTAATTAATATAACTTCAGAATCAATATCAAAAATTGAGACATTGATAAAAAAATAATTCAGTTATAGTTTCATAGACACTTTGGAGAAATTGTCAAAACAGACCCCTATTTACTTCTAACCCCAATAATTAATCCATAATATTAAGGCATTCAATAATACTTGGATTAGCTAATTGGATGAAAGATTAGGTAAATTCTTGCAATTTGAACAAAGTAAGAAAGCTGTCGAGATTTTAAATAATATCAAACACCAATAATCATTTACAAATACATTTGTCTCTTAATAAGATAATCTTTTCTTTTATTCACATAATGCTTCATAGGAAATCTAAAAGAACATTAAGATTGGTTAGAATGTATTTTCTATTAAACATCCATATTGCTATGCAATTGCTATAAACAAGGAAAACAATATCATTGTTACTTCTTCCAATAAAAATTTAAGCATATTTTAAATCGGTCAAGGATCAATTAAGCTAGAACAACTTTGTGAAAACAAGTATTCTAAGTTCATAGTTACACTTACTTTCTTTAAATCAGCCACAGCAAACAATACATTCATCTCTGGTTCCTAAGATTCAAATATTGTCATTTGGATTTAAAATAGAACTATTTAATCACAATTTTCTTGGGAACCAAAGCTTTTATTACAAGGACATGCATCTTGTATTAACTGTCTGATTGTTAACTCTTTTGATTCAATTATTATCAGTGGATCTGACGATACCAAAATCAAATTTTGGTCTCCTGAATAGTCTTCTAATAAATGGTATTGTTAGCAGACTATCAGAGAGCATTCGAACAGTGTTTTTGGGTTGTCCATCAATTCATAAGGGAATTAATTAATTTCATGTGGTAGAGATATGTTAATATTGGTAATGCAGAATTAAAATAATTAAAACTGGTAAATTAAATAAAAGATTTAAACTTAGAATTATGGGTACAGATTAACCTTCATTAATGAAAATATATTTACATTTTAACCTCACCTGAAGAATAAAAGTGAAATAGAAATATTCTAGATTGATCCAAATACAAAAAACTATATAAAATTAAGAAATTTGTAACTTTAGGGAACTAAAATGACTTGCTATTATTATTTTCCTTAAGTTTACATCCCCTAATTAAGTATGCTGATTACTAAGAATGGACATTATGTGAACTTTATTAAATTTTAATTTACTTCATAACACTAGTTTTAAGATTGCAAATTAGAAGCTGCATTAGATTTTGGTGTGCTAAGTTATGGGGAGATCTTTGGAACAACAAGTGAAGATGGAGAATACTTAATAACTTGGGATCTGTTATCTTAATGTATTCAAATTAAGAATTCGATAGAAGTATCGCAAACTTATAATGATGTATTTAGAACCTATTCTTATGTTTCAATATGATTCAATTTCCTAAAGGCTTTTGAATATTTAAAATAATGTAAACAAGATATTAATTAGTAACAATTTGTTCTGCTTTAAAAATATGATAAATTCTCAATTTTTAATTTAATATTTATTATTATCAAAGTATTAGAAGAGTTGTATCTTACTGTATCATATTTCATTATGATTTTTTTATTGTTATATACATTTTTATAATATGACACTGCCAATCCTTCACTGATCACAAATTGTTACCGAGATATTAAGAAAATTTACTTCGAATTCAAGATACTCATTATCACTTATACAGAATTATTTATCTTAATTTTCATCTAGAAGTATATTATTATTGTTAACTTTAAGACATCTCTCAAACTCTTCTCAAACTAATATATTCATAAGAAATTTATTGATTATATATTTTAAAGTTCCTAATAACTAAAATGATTTCTTTTAAGGTAACATTGTTACTTTTCCTGTTTTGCATTTAGACGAAAGGGATTGATTTATGTAATGAGTATGAAAGATTTGAAAGTTGTGTTTAGAGTGATAGTAATAAATGCAAATGGGATGGAATTAGGAAGCTTTGTGAAAGAACTTTTGATTTTTAATAAGGGTGCAGTCTCAGTTTGAATAGGAAAGCTTGCATTAGACAAATTGGGAATGTAATTGGTTAACCAGCTAAATGTATAACAACTATTCTAAATTAGGTCGCTTTTTATCAGTATGTGAAGACATACCCAATTTAGAAACAGAGAGATGTGAAAACAATCTCTCAAAGTCTGGGTGCATCTCAATTGCTAATCCAGAACATATTTGCTATTGGAAAGACAATAGTTGTCATGTACTACCTCGAAATCAATGGTATTAAGTTAAAGAGGACTTTGATTAAGTTTAATATAGTGTTTCAGCTTGTTCATAAATTGAGAAATATTTAATTATTCATAGTAATCTGTTATGGGATTTGATATCTTATACTCCAGATTTATTCACAGAAGCAAACAATTCATTCAAAAAGGAAATGGGTTTAGAAGTTACTGATGATATCATATTTGATGATCCAAACACGGTTTCTTTACAAAATAACTATCAATTCTCGAATGGCTCATTTGCTTGGTATACAATTAGGGAGTCTAAGGAAATCACTTTAACAAATTGTAATATATGGTTTTGATAATCGTAGTATAGAAATCCTATAGATATAGGTATGGATGCGTAGCTATTGAGATAGAAAACGATAATGATTACTTCAATCTTATCACAATTACAGATGAGCAGAGAGGGGTAAATCACTTATATTGCAAATATTTGAGTAGAAATCCAAACATTGCAGATGACTATGTATTTTCTGATGGAGTATGTAAGAAATTTAGCAATCTTGACTTAAATGACATTTAAAAAACAGTCAAGTTGAATTTAAGTTGTAAATCACTGGACTACTATTAGTGTATTTATTTTGATTCAATCTCTTATACATGCAGATTAAAGGGATTAAATTATGAATATCCTTGTGTGGTTTAAGAAGATGATTATGTGGCTGATTGTGAAAATGCTTTTTGCACTGTTAAATAATGTTCAAAGTTAACATTTCATTATTTGGACACGGATACAAACAAATGTAGTGATAGTTGTTCGTAATTCCCTCTAAATAGTTAGAGTGCATGTGAGGCAGTAAAAGGATGTAAGTTTTTAGGGACGAGTTAAAGGATTATGGAGAAGAGTTGTTCTCCTAATGATGGGTGTGATCATTTAGGCATTGAGAAGATGTATTGTATATTTTTAAAGGATCAATGTGGATGGGATGAATTATAATAACGATGTTATAGAATAAAGGATGAAGAGTTCAAATTGATGAGATGCAGTTAAGCCTTTAATGCCTAATCTTGCGTTCTCATCACTTTAAGCGACTAAATATGCTTTTGGAATTCCATAATACTCTAGTGTTAAAATGTATTAGAATAGCCAATTCTTATATATTAAACATCTTTAATGGATTTATAACGTGTTAATCCTTTTCTTTTAATTTTAACGTAAGTAAGTAATGAAAACTTTTGCAAATATCAATAATCATTTCCAAGTGAATATATTCCAAGTGAAGGAAAGTGCAACCTCATTTAATCATAAATTTAATCAAAAGATATTACACATATCAACATGAATGCATGTCTTTAATTTTATCCTGGATTAAAAAGGTGGGATTCTTTAACTCAACAATGTATAAACCTTTTAGAAGTAGAAATTAAAGAGCTTGATTGTAATACTTAAGTATTTGTTAATAATTAAGTATGTCAGAAATCTAAGGTGGTATTACCTGGTTATCAATGTGTTTATGATCGATAAAGTCATTCTTGTAAAGAATTAGAATCTACACAAATTCAATCTTTTGGATGTGTTGGATATGGTTTTAGAAAAGAGGTTTGTTTATCTCTAAATGGACCGAGAGTTTATTGTAAATTTTCAGCAGGAATCTGTCAAGAAATTACTGAGAGTGAGATTAACTCAGTTCGTTGTTCATCCCTATAAAATGTGAACTCACAAGTGTGTAAATTATACACCTAATCATAAACTGTTTGTTTGTATGATAAATCCATTAAATCTTGTTACACTCCTAGTGTTTATGTTAAAATAACCTATTAATCAGATATAAATCGATATGGTTGCCAATAAGTCTAAGACACCTTAACTTATTTCGACTTAGTTAAAAATGAATGCATTTCATTTAGTGAAGATGAGGATATTTTGTTGTCTAACTTGGAATGTGCATAAAATTATATTAATCAAAAGACATGTTTGTTAATTACTAAAAGTGGTTAAAATTGTTTTTGGGATACAGTTGAAAATAAATGTAAAAATTATTCGGGTAATTTTTCTAATTGTGGAGATCAGGATCAATTTACAAGCAGGATTTGCTAGGCCATTGTATAAAATGTGTAAAAATAATTAATAAATGATAATTATTGTACTTATTTTGATAACAAATGCCAAACCAAATCTACTACTCTATCAGATTGTGGAGAATCTGAAAAAATGAATGTACTTAGATGCAGTGGATTAACTGGATTAAATCAAGCTGGAGAATACATTTAAATGTGTGCATTTATTGACTTCAAATGTACTTCATTAATAGATGATTCTATGGATGCTTTTATAGTTCTGAACCAGATATCGTGCTCTTAGGCCAACTTGAAAGCCTGTTCAAAAGTATAAACTTATGGAAAATATTGTTAAGTGATTGACTATGTTTCTAACAATTATTTCATAATCGATAAGAAATGCGTATAGGTTGATAATAATAATCAATCATGTTAAATCATTAATACTAATTTCCAGAAAGATTAAATAAATCCCAATCATTGCATAAGAGCAAATGACAGTTGTTACTATGATTAATCCATCGGATGCTAATCACCAATTAATGATGATTTGGAATGTGACACTCCAGGATTATCATATTCCGGTTGTATTCTAAACACAAACAATCATAGATGTGCATTTTATAATTCTAAATGCCAATATTTTCCAACATATTCAACTATTTCAAATTGCAAATATCTAAATTAACTAGCTTGTTCCAATTATCAATTTAAAGACTGTTATTGGAATGGTTCAATGTGTGATGTTTCTTATGATTATGGTAGTGATTACTCTTGTATTTTGAATTAGAGTAATCTATTTATTGTTTCAAATGGTTCCACGTGTATTTATGAAGAATAAGAATCAAATTACTAATTGTACACATGTGATAGCAAATTAAATTAATTTGGTTGTGGATCAATCCCAAATTAATATTGTTAATTTATTTAAAACTAATGCTAATTTTATTCCACCACTTAATGTGAAGATTCAGGAACATCATGTAGCTTAAATAACTCATTAAATCTGAAATGCGTTCTCAAAGATGGTAAATGTTTTCATTTTCCATACAATCATCACTAATGTGATTTCTTTGATGAAACTAATTATGAATTCTGTCTCCAATATCCTGATTGTGTTTATGTAGATTAAAAATGTTAATAAATTTATTAAAATAGATCTTATTGGTATTGTTATTATTTAACCCAACTTGAATGTCTTATACAAAATAAACAATATTCATGTACATGGGAAAATGAACAATGTATTGAATTTGAAGGTTCAGCTTGTCCATCTCTTGACGGATTTCATTCATATGACGCTTGCTCAAAGTTTAACAACTGTTATTATGGATATACTAAAAGTGGCTTGGGTTTTTGTTATTAAGATGCAAACTTTGAATCACTAACATGTGAACAGTTAGATTAAATCTTCTGTCTTGATGATATGACTCATCTAAATTCTTCACTTATGTGTTATTGGGACTAATCATGCAAAAACATAAATAACACAGAAGAAATGTAATGTGAAGATCTATAAAACTTTTAGTCAAGTTATCCAGCTTGTGCATCTTTAAATTAGGAACTCTGCATGTACTCATTTGTAGATAAGAAATGCAAGCTTATATAAGAGTATGTTTCAATAACAATTTGCTAAGGAACAACATCAAAATAATGCTCATAAATAAAAAACACTTGTTACTTTAATAAGTCTAAATGCTAAACAAAAGGAATACCAGAACAATTAAATAAATATGGATGTATTACTTAATCTGGATCTTGGAAATTCACCTATTTCACTTGTTATAAATTAACTAATGAAATGCAATCAAGTTGCATCAATCTGTCAAAGGAGGCTTGTTTGGGTGATCTCACAAAGGAAATAAGTTGCCAATGGATAAACCAAAAATGTATAAATTTGTTTTAGGATTAAAATAAAAAACTATTGTCATGTCAAAATCTGAATCAAAGGGCTTGCTTAAATGTCAGTCTATCAAATATCTTATGTATTTGGAATGAAACAATTAAAATTTGTGATTCCCTTAATATAAGCAACACTGATTGTAGTCTTAACAATTTAGATCCCCTAATGTCTGTTAGTGTATGTGCTAGTTCAACAACTAAAAGCTGTGTGAGGCATTATGATAAAACCAAATGTACAGAAATCAAAGTGAAATTGGATGGCTGCAATCTCTTTGGATTGAATAAATAGGCTTGTATATCATTAACAAAAGCACCTTGCTCTTGGATTTAAGTTGGGGATGGAGGATATTGCAATGATGTTAACATATATACAACGTTATGCGAGGACTTTGTAAATTAATCGGCTTGTCTAAACATCTAAACATAAGGATAAGTTTGCAAATGGGAAGAATCAACTTAATAATGCATCAATTACAAATTCACATCTTGTGAATCTGCCAATAACGAACATTCCATCATGGCTTGTAAAGGTGTTACCGAAGAAGCATGTTATTATGATCCCTGGCAGAAGTCATGCAATCAAATCTTGTCAACTCCAAATATTTGTTCAAGTAATTTCAATTCTCGGGCTTGTATACTGTCTATAGAAGTCTGCGTATGGCAATCAAATAGATGTTACAACAATCCAAATTTAAATTGCCTAAATTACAATACAAAAATTAAATGTCTTCAAAGCAATGCATAAAATTGTCAATGGCTTGATAATAAATGTCAATAGTTTCAACCTCTTGTAATAAAAGTTTATTGCTACGAATTACCAACAAATATTAATAATTTTGCTTGCATGAATAACTCAATAGATCCCTGTTGTTTTGATTCAAATTTTATGTAATGCTATGCAGACTAAAGTAACAAAATTGCAAAAATTTATGAATGGTCAACAATAACTACTATTCTAGCATTTCAATAACCTGGTTAAGAATCCTCCATCTTAAATGGTAAATGTGAAGAACTTAAAAATCCAAATTACTGTTTAAAATCACGTATTCCAAATATATCATGTATTTGGAATGATTCTTGTTAAGAGGTCACTTAATTTGATAATTTATCTTGTTAAGACTCTCTCAACATCTGGGGATGTTTGAATATAACTAATGAAAATTAGTTTTGTTTCTGGAAAGATTAAAAGTGTTTAAATTGGAATACTTCTCTAGGTATTATGGAAAATGTTAATAAAAATGTCTGTATTTAATATAGCATAAATAGCATTTATGAATTAAATTCTTGCGTTGAGAAATCAATTGAATCAATATAATGCACATCTGATGGAATAAGTAAAGCAACATGTTTATCCATTCCAAATAAATAATGCAAATGGATCACATCTTGTATTGATTTTACTTAAACTACTGAAACAAAATGTCATGATTATACAAATGTAACATATTATGTTTGTTAAATGACTGATTTGGCTTGCAATTATGATTAAGAATAACATAATTGTATTGAAATTTCAAAAGAAATTATTGGATTTGGAGTCTCAAAATCAAGCTGTGTATCAAATAAGAATATTTCCACGTTTTGGAATAGTAACGGTTGTTAAGAACTGTATGATTTTATTGATTGTGATACTTCATTAGTTGTCAATGAATTAGCATGTCGTAAAAATGTAAAAAATACAGCATGCCTTTATGACTCAATTTCTAATCGTTGTAAGAGCAACTTCAACAGATAGTCATTACAATGTAAGACTTTAGGATTAAATCTACTGGGTTGCATACAGGTTTAGCAAGAACCTTGTATTTTTAAGGATAACAAATGCTAGGTATTTACAGGAACGTCATAAATTTGTATGTTTATTAATCTAGTGAATTCCAAAGCCTGTGCATCAGTCATCAATTAATAATGCTCCTATGACTCAATCAATTTCAAATGTTAATCTCCATTAATCAATGAGAATTATTGTAATGTTTCAGGAGTCAATAGAGATGCTTGTGAAACTAATACACTTTGTATGTGGAGTCAAGACGACTTAGATTGTAAGTGCAATTCAGATCAGAAAATTGATACTTGCCAATTCTCGAATATTACATAATGCAGGTCTAATAGTAAATGTTATTTCGATCTTGATATTTACAAGTGTATTAAGAAGTAATGTTATCATCTAAAGGAAGTTGAATGTGCTGCAATCATGGATAATAAGACTTGTTACTTAAGTTAAAATAATAGTTGTCAACCAGCAACTAAATGCGAGGATATTATTGATTCAAAACAATCATGTTCAACTATTTACATTGATTTATAACCTTGTGTTTAGGCAGGTGCTTCCTGTATATCAATTAACAATTATAGCAGTTATTGTTCGTATTCAGATTGTTCAAATTCTAATTGTATTTTTAAATATGGGGCATGTAAATTGAAGACGTGTGATGATTACACTGCCCAAGAATGCCAATTAGTTTAAGGTTGCTATTTAGATTAGGAAAAAACATGCCAATAATTACTTGTATGTAGTCAAATTACTTAAGAGATCTATGGAGATCAAGTCACGTATATTTGTAACAAGTCATACGTTAATGGTCTTATATGTAATTGGTAGAGATACTCCTTGTTAGATGATACTGAAGTATGCACCAATCAGTATTGCGAGTAATTTATTATTATTTATTGTAGAATCTATGGGTCATCAACTACACTTTGTTAAGGGAATGAAATCAATGGATATTCATGTGTGTTATTTAATTAATTAGTTTGCAAGTAATGTGAATATATAACAGAACCATGCTTTTGCGATTAATAAAAAAATGTTTGTTTCTATCAAAATGGCAAATGCAATTCTATTCTGTGTTCTAATTATTTAACTAAAGATACATGTTCCTAAGTCTCGGATCGTTGTTATTGGAGCACTTCAACTGAAAATAATTCACAAATTAGTCTTTGCTTAAAGTCATGCGAAAAAATCATGGATGCTATTGAATGCAACAGTAGATCTAATGAATGTTATTTTGAAACTTCTAAGGGATTATGCGTAAAAGGTTAAAAATAAATACCAAATTTGAGTTCTGAAATTGTAATAGAGGAATTTTATGCCATTATCATACAAGGGTATATTTTTGTATTTTTGATTATTTTTATCTGAAATTGTTGTTAATATTTTCTTGCATCAAATTTCACTATTTTCATCACTTTTTTTTTTGTCATTTTTTTTAATGATTTTTTTAAATATTATTAATCTCATAGTATTATGTCCAATCAACATTACACTTAATCCAATATTCTTACAATTGATAATGTAGAATTTAAGATACATCTCATTATTAAATGTAGTATTTCTAGTTTTAACATTCTCTCTATTCATATTCTCAGGATTTGATAATTAAATTACAATAACACAATTTACAAAGATGCAATTTGAAAATATAATGAGTAGACTCAAAGATATTTATCTAAGATTTGCTCGGTAAATTTCTCTTAAATGTAAATTAAAAATAGCTAATTATATGAAATATTTCTTTTTCATTTTAGATTCTCAATCAAAATTAGTTTTTTTAGTGATCTAAAGCTTAATAATATTTTAATGATATAATTGATTGTTCTTAATTTTGAGAACCTAACTTTTGAATTTACAAATAGGAAAGGGTATGAAAATTAAAAATACCAAAAGCAATTTTCAAAAGCATAAATAGATCTAACTAATCTTAGAGAAATATGGGAAGTATTTAAAAAAATTATCCCTATGAATTCAATACAGGAAGGATGTATGAATACTCACATAGATACTCATTACTCCAATTGCAGCAATATTAAATTGATTATAATATAATGTAATTATTAACATCTTTAACTATTAACGCAGAAAGTAAAAACACATAAGCTAAATCAACTAAGACTTAGAACACGCAGACATTCAAAGTGCATTTTTATCCCAAACAATATATAATTGAGACAAATCAGAAAACCATAACAATAGATAAACATTTGATTATTGATAGGGACAATGGGAATCTGTATGAAAAAGGTATTTTGTGTAAGTATACATGTAGATGGAGCACCACCTTAGAGTGAACATCAATAAATGGCTTTTTCGGCTTTTTTAGGTACAATTTACATTCTGGATAAACCTTTCTTATTGTTAGTGGAGGAGGCTGAATTAATTTGTACAATAGACGAATAAGATATATTTTAGATTGCCTCAGTGGCATTCTTACCTTATGAACCAAATGAAAAAATTATGTAATGTGCTAAGGCTAATGAAATTTTAAAAATGATAGGGCATCTAAGGAAATTATTGATTATGGGATTCTACTTCTCTTACGGATATGATTTGACATTATCGAAAGTAAAATAGAAGATCGAGGAGAAGACTGAAGAGAAATTCTTATGGAATCTGAATTTGATTAGAAATCATCTTAAGTAATAAATAGATAGGAAATGGTTGACCAATATCATACAAGGATTCATAAATTATTTTTATTTGTACATCAATGGAAAAAAACTAGACTTCTATTTGATGAGCAGGAGATCAAGTAAAAGAGCTGGTACCAGATATAATGCAAGAGGTATAGATGATGATGGTAATGTTGCCAACTTCGTGGAAACAGAATAGATTATATATTATAATAATCATTGCTGTTCTCATCTTTAAGTGAGAGGGAGTGTCCCTATATTTTGGAATCAAAGAGGATTGTTGACAGAAACTAAATTGATGAGGTCAGCAGAATTAACCAAAAGTGCATATAAGAAACATTTCAAAGGTCTTTTGGAAGATTATTCAAGGGTTATTTGTTTGAATTTGATGGCCAAAAAGAAAAGTGCAGAATAGATGGTTACAGAAGGATTTGAAGAACAAGTAAAATTGAATTCGGATGAATTAAATGGAAATATCAGATATGAGTGGTTTGACTTTCATCATGAATGTAAAAACAATGATTTTTCATAATCTAACCCATTGGTAAGGAAATTGATGGAACATATTAAAAACTTTGGATTCTACTTAGAAGACTTAAAAACTAAAAAGGTTTTGTCAGTCTAACATGGAATCTTTAGGACCAATTGTATGGATTGTCTTGATAGAACCAATTTCATCTAAACCAAAATAGCCATGAGTGTTTTCGATTTATCAACAAAATAATTAGGAGTGGATTTCTAAAATCTTTTAAAAATGTCACCCATAGAAGCATTAGATGAAGATTCAAGCAAAATTACAAATTATTTCATATAGTATTTCAAGAACATTTGGGCAGACAATGGTGACATGTTATCAATCCAATATACAGGAACTGGATCAACTCATACCAATATTACTAGAACTGGACAGAGAGACATCACTGGTTCTTTAGATCATGGTACCAAGTCATTGATAAGATTTGTGAATTAGAATTTTGTGGATAATGATAAATAAGAGGCCATTGATATTTTATTGGGCAATCATGCTGATATCACTGCCTCATATAGTAAATAGATAGATGAAAAGTTAAAATCAAGATTTTAGGATTTTTGCAGCTTTTCTGATCGATCTATTCTGGTGGTAACTTGGAATGTAGGAGGACAAACTGTTTCATAATCTTACGATTTAAATAAATAGATTGTTGATTACGCTGCTGACATTATTGTAGTTGGATTACAAGAAATGGTTACTTCTGGAACTGGACTGGTGGTTGGATCAAATTAATATCTATAAGATTGGGATAAGTTGATTGCCAATAATCTAAGATAGAAGGATAAGTATATCTACATTAAATCCAAAGAATTGTTGGGAATAGGATTGTTTATTTATGCTAAGGAGAGATTTCAAGACAGAATCACCAAAGTTAGTTATGATACAATTAAACTGGGTTTCTTGGGTCAAATTGGAAATAAAGGTGCTGTAGTAATTAAAATGTTGATTGATGATACTTTAATCTGTTTTATCAATTGCCATTTAGAACATGGATAGAAGAGCCTCTCTACTAGATTGCAGAGTCTCAAAGATATTCATTAAAATATTTTCAACCAAATAGGAATAGGGAAGAAGAAAGAAGAGAAAATTGAATAATGTGATTATCGAATCTTATTTGGAGATCTAAATTTCAGAATCAACTAAGAAGCAGACAAAGTCATCACATCCACTCAAAGACACAAATTGTTTATAGATTAGAGTAGAATACATGAAGCCAAGGAAACTCTTTAGTATATAGTTCATTTAATATTAGAAACTTGTAAAAGTATGATGAAATAATGAGTAATCGAGAACAAAATTAATATCTAAAGTAGTACAAAGAATCTGATATTAACTTTCTCCCTACATATAAATTTGAACCCTATTCAAATATATATGATAAATTAAGAACCCCATCTTGGACCGACAGAATCTTAGTGGGGTAGAATGAGCATTGTGAACACAAATACCAATATTACAAATGCCATGATATCAATTATAGTGACCATAGGCCAGTTAGTGCTTTAATTAATGTAAGGACCAGAAAAGAAATTGCAGAAAAGAAAGCAGAAGTCATTTAATCAATTTATAAAAATGAATCATGATATAATCATCAGAATATAGCAAAGAATTTTAAGTTTTTTGTTAGAATTGTGATTCCAAACCCCCCATATATTCAAGTAAGGCTCTTTTCGTTTTTTTCTTCCCTATCTTTTTTATGAAATGATAGTATTGTTCAATATTCCTCATTAATTTTAATACGATAAGTTTAATCATTATACCCTAAGAATTCTCCTTATTTGATAGTGTAAATAATATCAGATCAGTTCCATTCTACTTATAATAGTGTTTCAAATCTATAATCTGATTATTATTAGGTAAAGAGCACTATATTGATTAATTTCTTACTTAAACTCGAAACTTGAATTCAAATCAAAATTAATTATATATTTCAATACCTCTCCAAAGATTGAAAAAGCAAATTACTCTGTAGTTTAAAATTGCAAATTCTCCAAAGTCTTCCAATATTAAAGTTGAATTTATATTATTCTCAGTTTTTAATCTATGTTCAACTTTTATTTATAATAGTTTATTTCATTCTATAATAATACTTAAACTATTCCTTCCACTTTCTTGTTTGTTTCCATTAATCTACTGTTACATTTTCAATACTGTATTGCTACACAACATGTAAATTTTATTAAGTTAATAATCTTCAATGGTTGTATATTATTTCATAATAATGTTATTTATATTACTCCTTTTTCTTAATTAGAAAGCAATGTAACTCAATATAAACTGATGTATTAGAATTTGAGAAAAAGTTACTTTCATTAAATGTCTAAGAATTTATCTCTTTTAACTTATTGAAATAAAGTAAATTGTATTTTTTAACTAAATTTTTTCTAATTGTTTTTTTGTATTACAATTGTCCTTTTTTAGTTAATTCCAAAAATAAATGAATTTTGCTCATAACGCTTATATAGAGAGTTTCTCTAAAAATTAAATGAATCAATATTTTATGAATTTATCCCTTTTATTAAAATAATTGATTATTCACTTATGATAAATTTCATAAATCATATTAAAATTCTTCCTAAAATCCAAAATTTTAAAGAAATACTATTAATAGCCAATTGAGTAAAAAATCTATAATTAAATTGATAATATAATATATACATACTGGATCAACAAGATATGATTATTTTATTGACTCTATAATGTGAAAAAGAAATTTCTTTTTATAGTATATTTGAGTTTTATTGAGTCAATAAAATAGTCTTATTTTGTTGACTCAACACATTTATATATATTATATATAAATTTATGTATATATTTTTACTAAATGAGCTGCCACAAACGACATTTTCATTGAATTACTTTTGATTGTTTCCTTATTAAATTGATTATAAAGTAGTTTTTAAAAACTGTAATTTCCCACTAGCATTATCCTAATTTTTGTTTC